GTGCTGTGATTGAAGATCACGGTGTATGTTATATTAAAACATACACACAACGGTGCTGTGATTGAAGATCACGGTGTATGTTATATTAAAACATACACACAACGGTGCTGTGATTGAAGATCACGGTGTATGTTATATTAAAACATACACACAACGGTGCTGTTAACTAAACGTCACAGTATGTACATTCGTAGGTTAAAACATACATAAAACAGTGTTATGATTGAATATCTTGGTGTATTTGTTTGTTTAAGACTATGTAAACTTTTATTGTTTAAAAAACGTAAACTACATAGAGAGGTCTGATATAATCTCTGATTGGCTACTTCAGCTGTAGCAGACTAGTTTCGCCGAATTCGCAGCTCATCAAATATATGAAGTAAGCCTAACGTAGTGGTGAAATTCTTGGTTTTATGTGTGACATAATTAATTGCCCGGCATGGCCAGGTGGTTAGGGCGCTCTCCCCGCAATCTGCCGGTCGCGGGTTCGAATCCCCGTCACACCAAACATGCTTGCCCTTTCAGCCGTGGGAGCGTTATAATGTGACGGTAAAATAGTAAAATGGTAAAATAGTAGCCCAAGCATTGGCGGTGGGTGGTGTTGACTAGTCTTAAACTTCTAAATTAGGGACGGCTAGCGCAGATGGCGCTCGTGTAGCTTTGCGCGAAATTCATAACAAACAAACATAATTAATTATCCGTTCTCACTCAGCGACAGTAGGTTACATGTTATACCAACCGGTATTGTGTTATATTTTGTTACTGGTGAGTAAGTTTGACTGATTTTAAAGGATCCAGCAAGATCTTGGACTTTTCAAATAATATCTGTTAAAAAAAAAAGCTGAAACTGGAAAATTGATGGAATTTCTTATACAAAAATATTGTTATTTTACATAATATCCTTTCAACCGTTAACCCTAGAAAACGAGTTCTGTCTGACTTTTAAACCTGTTTTTTATTTTTTTTTGTTTCATTAACTATTTCTGTCAGGGTCACTATCTTGCCTAATATCACCTCCATATTCGGACCGATCCAGCTGGTCTCGATGTGGGAAAAGGTTCACTAGCCCACGCTTGGAAGTACATTGGTTGATATCACCTTTTGTGAAATCTTAGGTGTTTACTGCAATACATGGAAACATACACATATATATCGTTTAAACAAATGATAATATATATACATGGAAACACTTACATGTGTATCGTTTAAACAAATGATAATATATATACATGGAAACATATACATGTGTATCGTTTAAACAAATGATAATATATATACATGGAAACA